TACAAACACTGCAGGAGAAACACACTAATAAAAACTGTCAATATCCCTGAGAAGCAGTGCTTGTCACTGGAACTCAATTTTAATTAGGCATTCTAAGAAGGCAAGGGCAACATACGTAACCTAAACATCTGTACCCCCATAATATGCTGAAATAAAAAAAATAAATAAATAAAATGAAATTCTAGTTCCTCAAAGAAAATTCAGGTAAAAATACTCCTACAAACCCTGCAGGAGAAACACACTAATAAAAACTGTCAATATCCCTGAGAAGCAGTGCTTGTCACTGGAACTCAATTTTAATTAGGCATTCTAAGAAGGTACTCTAAAATAAAAAAGAAATAAAGGTACGGTGAAATCCTAAGAGGTATTCTGTTAATGTTCACCTATAAAGAATTTACCTGGAACAAAAAGCAGAATTACATAAGAAATAGAGGGAAAAGACTAAAGCCTTATTATAACATCACCAGCCACAACCAGATTAGTAAATGCTGACCAACTCTAATTCAGATTTTGGCTAAGTGATTACACAGTTTGAGCTAGAAGTACGGCAATGCACCAAATATGAGGTGGTAGGTATTAAGAAACAAAGACTCAAGGATTTTCCTCAGGTAAAAACAGTATCAGTAGAAAACGTGCCACCTGTTTGGAATTTTTAAGCACAGCCACAATTTGGCATAGAAAGAAAAGAACTAAAAATCACTCCCAAATGCTACTGTAAGAATCAAAGACCATTGCCCTTTCAACACAGCCTACAATTTCTTTTCTGAATTATCATATTTTGAACCTGGAGTAATAGTGTTTGAATTGTGGACATCTTAGTCTTGGTAACTTGGTGGATTGTTCCAGGAACAATGACTATTAACTGAAATTGTATTTCTTAGATCTCTAAAATTCTACCACAAGGCATGTAGTAGAATTATTAAGTTATTAATAATAACTTATTAAAGTCTTTGAAAGTTGGCTTGTTAAGCTATGGAAAGAAATTAAACTTTTTGTGTTTTTTGATTAGGCAGCTTATGTGTGAGAAAAGAGAGACTCCATTGGAAAGCTGTTTCCCTGTTCCCTTGATTGGTGATGCAGGCATCTCTTTTAATTTGTTGCAAAGTAATTGTCTAGGACTCAAATTCTGCCTCTGCCAACA